CCCCTTTTCCCCTGAAAATGGACTCACAACTTTGACTTGTGTGTGATCACTCCATACTGTGAAAGGGAATCTCCTGGGGTTTGTGAGAGGAGTGGATAATTCATTTAATTGTAGAGCAAATCCATAAATGATAAAGGAAGTCACCTGTGTCTTGCAGTTTGTATCCCCACATATGGTAGCAGAAATTTTCCTGCCTGATAATAGATTAGAACTGTTCTATGTGTTTTTTTTTTTTAAATTAGGCTGTGCAATTTTGCTGGCTGAAATGGTGTTGGATGATGAGAAGAAGAACAGGAGCACAGCTCTGCTGCAGTCTTTGAACATGCTTGTGCAGACAGAGGGAAAGGAGAGAAGTGGCTCTGAATATCAAGCCTTGCTGGAACAACATGGATTCACAAATGTCAAAATCAGAATTACAGGAAATTTGTTAGATGTCATTCTCTGTGTTAAGACCTAGAAAAAAAATGGATTTAGTAAAATCTGGATGTCTTCTACTCATGTTTGATGTTTTGTAATTATGCAAGTACATTCAACCTCTATCAATGTCATAAACAAGAAGTGTTATGTCAGCTTTCTGATGTTACTTTTAAAAAGGGGGAGAGATTGATTTAATTTATTTTTTACTTCAGTAAAATGATGCCAGAAGATTCTGGTAGTGATACTGTTGCTGCACAACACCTGTAGCACACAAATGCTGGCACCAGCTTCTTGAGAGAGTCAAGACAATCACACAGAATCACAGAATCTGCTGAGTTGGAAGGGACCCACAAGGATCATTGAGTCCAACCCTTACCCTTGCACAGGACCATCCTGAAGAGTCACCATGTGCCCGAGAGTATCGTCCAGACACCTCTTGAACTCCATCAGGCTTAGTGCTGTGACTGCTTCCCTGGGGAGCCTGTTCCAGTGCCCAAACACCCTCTGGGTAAAGAACCTTTTTCTAATATCCAACCTAAACCTCCCCTGACACAACTTCAGGCCATTCCCTTGGGTTCTGTCACTGGTCACTCCAGAGAAGAGATCAGTGCCTGCCCCTCCTCTTCCCCTCACAAGGAAGGAAGGAGGTCTCCCCTCAGTCTTCTCTTCTCCAGGCTGAACAGACCAAGTGGCCTCAGCCACTCCTCATACAGCTCCCCCTCAAGGCCCTTCACCATTTCCATTGCCCTCCTTTGGACACTCTCTAATAGACTAATGTCTTTTTTATATTGTGGCACCCAGAACTACATACAATATTCAAGGTGAGGCCACACCAGTGCAGAGCAGAGTGGGACAACTCCCTCCCTCGAATGGCTGGTGATGTTTTTCCTGATGCCCCCCAGGACACGGTTGGCCCTCCTGGCTGTCAGGGCACTGCTGACTCACATTCAACTTGCCACTGACCAGGACCCCCAGGTCCCTTTCCATGGCACTGCTTTCCAGTATGTCTTTCCCCAGTCCGTACGTACATTCAGGGTCACCCTCTCCCAGGTGCAGAGTCCAGCACTTCCCCTTGTTGAACTTCACATGGTTGGTGATGAGGTCTGATTTGTTGAGGTCTCTCTGCAAGGCCTCCCTGCCTTTGAGGGAGTCAGCAGCTCTTCCCAGTTTTGTGTCATCTGCAAACTTGCTTAGTATCCCTTCCAGTCCTGCACCCCAGTCCTTTATGAAGATATTGAAGAGCACAGGGCCTAAGATGGAGCCCTGTGGAACCCCCCCAGTGACAGATTGCTAGCCTGATGTTACCCCATTCATTATTACCCTCTGTGCTTGACCCGTGAGCCTCTGCTTTGTGTGAGGTTTCTGGAAAAAGGCAGTTGTATAAAAGCACAAGTTTCATCTGATTGTAATGAGATTATATGTGGGGACACAACATTTGATTCAAGAACATCATCCTGCTCCTTTTCAACCCTACTTGATTTGTGAGCTCTTGTAAAAGTGGATAGCAGAATAAAAGATTAGATAAAGAAAAGAGAAAAAAAAGGTGCAGAAAGGAAAAATCATAGCGATGGAGAGAAAAGGATTTTCCCCAGTCAGATGCAGATGTGCTCCAAAGGTGAACAGGACAGGGCAGCTATTGACTGAACAGTTTCCTGTCACAAGGTACATGCATTTTAATTTTGTTTTTCACAAAAGTTGAAGAATTGACAATACTCAAGATTTTCAGAGTATGAAGTTCTTTTTTAATCAATAGAAAATTTTGTGGGGAAAAAAATCCTAGCCTTGCAGACATTGTGTTGTGCTAAAAAGAGTACTAACATTCAGTTATAAGCTTTTTTAAAAGGAAAAATACCACACTAAGCTGTGGGTGCCTCTCTGAATATATTCACCACAGCCTTTCATAAATTACGTCCAGAATATGGTCCAGTAAATCCGTATGTGCCTAATCCTGTGTGAGCACAGGAGTCACTTCAGTCTATCTGTATTATGATGTAGAATATAGAACAGCACACAATTTACTTTGGATCTTTTGTTGTGCAAAAAAAAAAAAAAGTATAGTGACATACACAGCATACTGCAGTAGGCTATGCCTGGCACATCCTGTTCTCACAACATGTCCTCCGAGAGAGATGCTCTCATTTTGAAATCCTGCAAAGTACATACATGTGTAAGCAGTGGTTTCTGGCACCTCAGCTACTGCAGCTTTTTGGTTCACCAGTCATCTGTTTAAAAAAAAGGTTTGGCTTTATTTACTTTGGTAGGAAACAGCCATTAAAAGTGAAAGCAGTAACAAAAGGTGTGTGTGAACTAATGCCCTCCAGCTAGAACAATTTCAATACTTTTAGAAAGAATGGGTATAATTTCAGACATGTTTGACCATTAGGTACAAAATATCACTTTCAGCATACAATAAAATTAGCAAAGTTACTGNGAAACAACATCTCAGCCTTGGCCATATTGATCACCATAACTGGTCTACTCTGGCCTCTGATCGGGAGGGCTGGAGACACACCATCTATAACGCTGCTAATGCTTTTGAGAACACACGCAGGATCACCCTTGAGGAGAAAAGGTAACGCAGAAAGAATCGTGCCTTGCAGAATATACCATCTAAGGAGTCTTTCTGCTGTGCCTTTTGCAGCCGGACATGCCTGTCTCGTATTGGCCTTTTCAGCCACCAACACGCTTGCAACAAACGTGGGTAGAGCCCTTCCCAAATCTTCGTTCACAAAGCCTAGCCATGAAAATGAAAAGAACAATTTCCATACTTTTAGAAAGAATGGGTATAATTTCAGACATGTTTGACCATTAGGTACAAAATATCACTTTCAGCATACAATAAAATTAGCAAAGTTACTGATGAAACTACTGTCTTGGTAGGGGCTGGGGCCCTGCCATGAGTGCTTACACTGGCAGCCTGCAGAGGAGGTTTTCACAGCATCTAGATTTGAGCACTGACACAAGAAGCTGGAACCACACTTTCCCACTGTCCCTCTAGGAAACTGTGGTTAAGTTCTTTGGCATTTCATTGTCTTGGATCAGTTCTGTGAAGAACAGAAAAGCCTCATGGTGTGACATTTGGCACTGCAGTGGTAAGGAAGAGGTGGGAACAGAACTTGGAAGCAAGGATATGCCATTGATCAGCATTACCCAGAGGGTGGTGAGCATGAAGTGAAACCCACTGGTGCCCTGGCAGTGCCCCAAATCTGCTCCCCTCCACCTGACAGCTACTGCTGTCCTCTGTGACCCCATGCAGAAAGCTGTGCCTCCATCCTACACTGGCTTCCAGCAGTCACCACTGAAGAAGCCTCCTGGTTCACTTGGTTGTCTCACTCATTGACTACTGTCTGGGCTCACAGACCCACGCCCCAAACCCAGTGCTTTACTGCCTCACACTCAGCTTCACTGACTCTCAGAATCAGTTATGTTAGAAAAGACCTCAGAGATCATCGAGTCCAACCTATGACCAAACACCACCATGTTAACTAGACCAAGGCACTAAGTGCCACATCCAGTCAAACACCTCCAGGCATGGTGACTCTGCCACCTCCTTGGGCAGTCCATTCAAATGTCTAATCACGCTTTCTGTGAAGAAATTCTTCCTAATGTTCTACCTAAAGCTCCCCTGGCAAGCTTAAGACGGTGTCCTCTTGTCCTATCTACTGTTCCCTGGGAGAAGAGGCCGACTCCCACCTGGTTACAACCTCATTTCAGGTAGTAGAGAGCAACCAGGTCACCCCTGAGCCTCCCTTTCTTCAGGCTAAACAACCTCAGCTCCCTCAGCCCTCCTCATAAGACTTGTGCTCCAGACCCTTCACCAGTCTTGTTGCCCTTCTCTGGACACGCTCCTGCACCTCAATGTCTTTCTTGTAGTGAGGGGCCCAGAACTGAACACAGGATTTGAGATGTGGCCTCACCATTACTGAGTACAGGGGGACAATCACTTCCCTGGTCCTGCTGGCCACACTATTTCAGACACAAGCCAGGATGCTACTGGCCACCTTGTCCACGTGGGCACACTGCTGGCTCATGTTCAGCTGCTGTCGACCAGCAGCCCCAGGTCCTTCTACACTAGGCTGCTTTCCAGCCATTCTTCTCCAAATCCGTAGCAATGCATGAGGTGGTTGTGACCTAAGTGCAGGACCCGGCACATAGTCTTGTTGAACCTCGGACTGTTGGTCTCGGCTCATCGATCCGGCCTGTCCAGACCTCTCTGCAGGGCCTTCGTGCTGGGCGGTGCGGGGCAACACACCAGATGGGGCAACACAGAGCCGCTGGGCTCTGCAGGCTGGTGCGGGCGCTACCGACGGCGGCACCAAACGAACGTGGAGAGCGCTTGGGAAAGTATGGGTAAAAGTGCGAGCAGTGAGGTGACCGCCGCGCTGCCCCGCGGGGGCCGGGCCGGGGCGGAGGCGGCACTTCCCGGGCGGTGGCGAGGCGGGTCCGCCGCGTGTGACGCGGCGCTGCGACACTGGCGCGGCCGGGCCGGGGGCGCGGGGCGGCCACCCCGTAGGCCCCGCCCCCGGACCGGGCTGGCCAATGGGGCGGTGCGGGGCGTGGCCGGCGGGCCCGGCATTAAGGCCACGCGCGCGGCGCTCCCGCCCTTTCGGCTTGAGGGACAGCGGCACTGACTCCCGGCTGCGCGCGCGAACATGGCGGACCAGGCCATCTCCTTCCTCAAGGACTTCTTGGCGGGCGGCGTCGCCGCCGCCATCAGCAAGACCGCGGTGGCGCCCATCGAGCGGGTCAAGCTCTTGCTCCAGGTCAGCGGCGCGGGCGAGAGCGGCGCGCGCGGGCAGATCCCGTCACCGTCCCCCTCAGGCGCCGGGCCCGGCGGGGGCACAGGTTCGGGCGGAGGGTGGGTGGGGGCCGCGGCCGCCGCGGGACAAAGGGCGAGGGAGAGGCGGTGGCGGCTGGCGGGAAGGTCACGTGGACGGTGGCGGGGAAGTCGAAGCCGGTTCCGCCGTGCGGGGCTCGGCGCGGCGGGCGGGCCCGGCCTAGGGGGGCGGCCGCCGCTGGTGTCACTTCCTGCCGGCGCCGAGGGCACGGCGGGGAGCGGAGGGCAGCCGCTCCCGCCGCCATCTTGGCGGCCCTCACGTGACGCGCCCCCGCGCAGCGCATTGGCCCGCGGGCGGGGCGCGGCCGGCGCGCGGGGCCCGGCGTGACCCGGCGGCGCCCAAGGTGATTGGGGTGACCTTCGCGGTGCCGCCGGCCGAACGCGGGCTCCTGCCTGCCCGCCCGCGCCCTCCCGCCCCTCTGTCAGTAAGGGCTCTCGCCTCTAGGTAGGCCTGTTCTGAGAGCCGCGTGCAGTCTGTCGTTAAACACCTCTATGGACACCACTTCCCTGGGCAGCCCATTCCAATGTCTAATCACCCTTTCTGTGAAAAAATTATTCCTAATGTCCAACGTAAATCTCCCCTGGTGCAGCTGGAGGCTATATCCTCTTGTCCTGTTGCTAGTTGCTGGGATAAGAGGCCAACCCCCACCTGTCCCTATTTTGGCAAGTCCTGAGGTCTGAGGAAGTTAGGAAGCAATTTTAAGCCTTTTTCTTAACAATAAGAGAACCCTAAGCCATTCAGAATTAACATCTTTTTTTGTGTAATAGAAGCAGGCTTAAGCCCAGCTATGGCATAGGCCAGTCAAGGCATGTGGTCAATATACATACTTTTATTTGCAGGTGCAACATGCAAGCAAACAGATTGCTGCTGATAAGCAGTACAAGGGTATCATCGATTGTGTAGTACGTATTCCAAAGGAACAAGGAGTGCTGTCTTTCTGGCGAGGAAACTTGGCTAATGTCATCAGATACTTCCCAACTCAAGCTCTCAACTTTGCCTTCAAGGATAAGTATAAGCAGGTGTTCTTGGGAGGTGTAGACAAGCACACTCAGTTCTGGAGATATTTTGCTGGTAACCTGGCATCTGGTGGTGCAGCTGGAGCCACTTCCCTCTGCTTTGTCTACCCCTTGGATTTTGCAAGAACCCGTTTGGCTGCTGATGTTGGAAAAGCTGGTGCAGACAGAGAATTCTCTGGCCTCGGGGACTGTCTAGTCAAAATTACCAAGTCTGATGGTGTGCGAGGCTTGTACCAGGGGTTCAATGTCTCTGTCCAAGGCATCATCATCTATAGAGCTGCCTACTTTGGGATCTATGATACAGCAAAAGGTAATACTTTAGAGGAGATCCAGTAAACCTGTTTTCACAATTGTATTGCCTGTTCTGGGATGTTACACACTGTAATAACTACATTAAGGTAGAAGGGGATATCGGTGCCAGCATCAGTGACACTGCAGTGTTGAAGGCAAAACTTGGGCATGTGTTGATGGCAGCAGCCTACTTTCAGGTATTAGTTTTGTAAGGAGTTGCTCCTGATGCTAGCAAAGTATGTTGATAATGATACACAGAAAAAGTTCTTTTTTGTTCAATGCATTCCTGTAGTTACACTGGACCAGTTCAAGAGTGTTTAGCAGAATGGGATTGAGCAATGCTTTTGTAAAGCACTTGGTTAAGCTGGACATTTGGGCATGTAGGCCATTGATGCTAGTTTGTGGTAACATAATCCACAGGGACAGTGACTTAATTTAGAAGCCTTGTTCTTAAATGTTAAGCTGTTTTGGTAACTGAAGAAAATCCTGAATTTCTTTAGATGTTTTTTATGATGCTTCAATGTGTTTAAAGTTTATGAAGTTGCAATTTTCAAGTATGGCTCTACAATGTTTTGTAACTAGGGCATCTAGTTTACTACTAGTTCATCTAGTAAAGTAGCTGTCATGCAGTGAGTAAACTGGAGGAGGATGTGCAAGATAAAAAGCTAATTACTTCTTTTTTTTACTACAGGCATGCTCCCAGATCCCAGAAATACTCACATTGTTATCAGTTGGATGATTGCCCAGACGGTGACTGCTGTGGCCGGTGTGGTGTCCTATCCTTTCGATACAGTGCGGCGTAGAATGATGATGCAGTCAGGACGCAAAGGAGGTAGGCTGTAAATCTGTGTAGTTTTTCAAGCAGTGTTAACAGGATGGAGTTCTATTTTACTTATAGCCTTGACACTTACATGAAATGAGGAAGTGCAGTAAGGTTCAACTTGTGTTTGTCCTGAATTATGCTGAGGACTTCTCTTTATTGAAAATGAAATAGGCAAATGGACTGCCTGTTTGTGTTGACAAATTAAATTACGGTAATTAGGGGTTGGAATAGTTGCCAAAATGAAAGCTTAACATTTTTACTTTGTGACAGCTTTTATTAACTAGGCAAGCAGAGAGGAAGCTTTGCTATTGGCTGTGCTAAGAATCGTATTACAGTCTTAAAGTGTGGTTTGGGACATCACAAAGTAGTTAAGTGAAACAGGACAGTTGTTAAAAACATCTGAGATAAAATTATAGGAGTTAAGAATCACTCTTTGCTCTTTTCCTGCAGCTGATATCATGTACTCTGGAACGATTGACTGCTGGCGGAAGATTGCAAGGGATGAGGGAGGAAAGGCGTTCTTCAAGGGTGCATGGTCCAATGTTCTCAGAGGCATGGGGGGTGCTTTTGTGCTTGTGCTGTACGATGAATTCAAGAAAGTCATTTAAGCAACCTAACTAGAATTGGAAATCAAATTGAGCAGATCATGTAGAATAACTACCATTATGGACCATTGACCTTCAAGAAATTCCTGTGAGTCTTATTTATCGGAGCCAGATGATACTTGCAGATGGGGCTAGAAACTGACAGAGAGGACTGATCCATTTCACTGTAACATGCATGAAGACACTGAATCTGGCAATTCAGTGTGCTGATTTTTCTTTTCAGCAATCAAAAATGAGTGGTGGTGGTTCTGGGTCCAAAGTGGCTAGGTCCAATTTAGGCAGAGAAAAATTGTTTGCCTGCGGATCAGTCCCCAGTTTCAAGTCCTATCTTCTAGGACCATAAAATTGTATTTGAAAGCATTTGCTAACAAATCATGTTCTTTTCCACTTGTACTGAAGCACTATGTACCATTTTGCACAGCTGAACATCTAGCAGTTTTGTTCTTAAATTGGGGCATTTTGCTGTAAAACAATAAACATACTTACTCTCTCTGTGTTGAAATTATTACATAAAACCTTTGGGAAAGCCTCTTTTGTTTGAAAACTTGTTTCAGATAATGGTTCCTCTGATACATTTACACTGCACTCTGTAATAGAATTAAACTTTTAAAAAAAAAAAACCTGAATGTGAGAATTTTATGGGGAAGGATGGGGAAGCATGGGTTGTACTGATAGAGACCAGTCCCATTCTTTGTGCCTGATGGTCTCCAATGGGCTGCTGCAAGTGGCTTTTTGCATGATTCTTAGAAATTGATTTGCAACTTCTCATATGATTTAAAATGGGGGGGGGTTCAGTTGTACTTGCAAAACCCAAAGACCCAAGAACTGTCAAAAAGTAATGCTCTAGCCCTTGGTGAAAGAGCTTAAAATAATTTTTTGTTATTAAATCAGTATTGCAAAGCAACATGGCATTCATGCAAAAAACCCAGGAACCCAGTAAATGCCTTCAACTTCTGAGCGACCTATGTATTGTATTGCTGCTGTTTGGAAATGTTGATTGTGCCATTCAGGATACTGTTTGGCCTCATCTGTGGCAGTGGTCAATCAGTACCTCTGTGGAAGGTTGAATTTAATCTGAAATGAGGCTCATTCTAGGAGATGACATTGATGGGGTGTGTGGGAGGGAATGTGTGTGTTTCTGTATTGCTGTAAAATAATAGATCAAGGTAGGTCAGCCTTCAGTATTAACTGATTGGTGTCTTGGGATGGTCAGAAGAACAAAACCAGACTGAGTAATTTCTCATACTGCTATTTGAGGTAGTGTAATACCTATGTGCCGTTCTCCCATATGTATATAATCTTTTATACTTTGTAATCTGCAAAAACACAATAGGAGGACTAGTAAAGGAAAACAAGGTGTTAATCTTTGTGTTTTAAGAACTCTCCCTATATCTGGAAAAAGCGTGTCATTGTATGAATCACTGAAGGCTGACTGAGCTGTCTTGAGTTCTTTCTGTGCCTTCTGAGGTTGGTATTCAAGATGAAGTATTTAAATTAACTACTTGGCTTTGGCTGGTTATTACCTTCCTCTCAAAAGGACTTACCTTTTTCCTTTCACTGTTGCACAAGTGCTGCTCTCAACATGTGTATGAATGTAAGGACATTACACAGTTCCTCTGTACACAGGCCAGTGCCAAAATTTATGTACCTATTTCATCCCTGTTTGGTAATCGCAGCTCCCTTTGGTGCAGGCAGGTCATTTGATGTTGACCTTGCCAATCAACTTGCTGTTTCACTTGTAATTATATTGATGGGGGGGAGAGGGGAAGACATTTTGTCTATGTAAACACATTGCTTAGGTTTATTTTCTGTATCAGTGGCTTGAAATGGTAGAGGTAATGGTGGGATGCGTCGCTGTGAGTGTATGCTGGCCCAAACTTTGTGAGAGGAACCAAACATGGCAGTTACTTGAGCAGCCCCTGAAAGGGATAGGACTTTGACACCATCTTTTCTCCAGAACTAGGTTTTAACTACAAGAAATAGAAAAAAAGGTGCAAGTGTAGGTGGTTTTAACGTCAACTGCAATTTCCCTATGCTGTGCATTCAGCATGTACTAATTTGTGCTGGTTTGGTTTTTTTAATATAAGGCTTCTCTCAGTCATGCAGCAGCAATTTCCAATGTGCCATGAAGTTTAGGAACATAAGAGGCAAACAATAAATGAGACTTTTAAAAAAAGCATTTGTTTTCTGCCTTATTGAGACACTGCAATGCATTCATTTTGAAAAATATTAACAGGAAAACAGCCAGAATTTGTAAAAGTTCTGGCATCTAAAACCTATATTATTTTTAAAAGGTATTGGAAACTGAATTTGCACCCTTTGAAGGGATTCTAAAATGCAGCTATTAAACCTTTATTACAGATTTTATTTCAATCCTCACAACTGTTAAGACTAGATGTTTTTGAAGGCTTTAAATGCTGTCTGTGATTTAAGTACATGCTAATCCTGCAGAAGATCAGAGTGTTGCAGAGGTCTGTATTTGCAATGGCAGTACTGAGCTCATGAAATGGCTGACTGGCAGACCAGTATTAATAGTTACATTTGACAGGTGTAATTTTATTTCCCATTTTTGTCTTTGGTATTGCTGGTTGGAAGATTAAAGGGCAATTTTAAACACATTTTGAATAGTTTCTGCTAAAAAACCCCCTGAGCATATAAAAACTATACGATCATAAAATTACTGTGGCATTCTTAAGCAGGCCTGTCATCTTCCAGGAAACCTTTATAGTCAGAGGAAAGAAGCTTCATAGCAATGAAGAGAGGAAGTGAGTTTCTTCTGGATAAGAGGCCTTGTCTCACATTGTGAAGAACATCCTAGCCAGGTTTAAGCATGCCTTCAAAGTAGACACTTGAAGAAAAGTGTGGCTGCTGGCCATTTTGGTTTCAAACAAAGGGCGAAGAATAACTTCCACAGATTTTTCTCCCCTTGTTTCGCCTGCTGCATTTAAGAGGATTTTTATGGGACAAACAGTGTTATAGGCAATTATATTCTTTTAGAGGCTGGTTTGAAGTACTTGTCAGCAGGATCCATGCTTTTATTTTGTATTGGGGGCATCAGTGTATTTTCTTCTTGGAAAGTTGGGACATCTCTTCAACTGTAGTTACTTCCTCGGTATGACTTTTTGATGGTAGATTTACATATTCTGTCTAAAGAGAAAGAAAAGTCTGTAACATGCAGTAGGCTAGAGAGTCACTCTGTCGATAATCAGACAATGCTAGATACACCAGTACCAAAGGTGCCTCTTCTTGCTCTTTCATTACTTAAAGAGATGCTTGCAAAGCGGGAGAAAGTGGTTTTAAGGACAGTTAGGGATTGTTTTACTTTTAATGTGTACAATCAGTACTAGCTGTTTGTCAGCAGAAGGACAAAGAATAGAATTCTATCTAAATGATGGACAACCTTAACTGAGACAATAGAAGGAATTTATTCAGTGGGTATTGCCTGAGTTTTTGATATGTAAGGATTAGCTAGACTTCTAGAGAAAATACTTTGGTAAGAATACAAATGCAAACTCAGTGCAGAAAATAAGGATTTTGTAAATAGAGATATTTCAGTGATCTAGGGAAAAGTATAGTGAAACATAAGAAAAAAAATGTGAAAGGTCATTGACTAAGTCGGGGCAAAACAAAGAAATGCAAGCTTTAAAGAGGCGTGATTAGCAAGTTATAGGTTTCAAAATAACTCATAAATCCATTAGCACTAAATGTCAGGGAGAGAGTGTTCTGGTGTTCAGTAGAGGAGAGATCTTGAAAATACCATTTTTGTACTTTATTTTCTGCTTTGAAGAATTGCAGCGTTCAATCAGTGTTAAAAAGATACCTGAGTTTGGAGGGAAGAAGGATAATAAAATTAGACTTTAAGACTAGATCAAAATGGGCAAAGAGGAGTCCAGAAGCTGTTTAAGCATGTCATAATCTTATGAATTACCTTCACAGTGCCTGTTGACAGGTATGAGGCAACCTGAGGGCTTCACTTGAACTCTGGCAACTCCTGCTGTTAAATTGTTGCCTGCATGTGACAAAGGCCTTTGGGCTGTAATGGAGTGATTTGATTAAGTCTGGTAGTATATGCACAGAAATTTGGAAGCCCCTCAAGTTTAGGAAAAGCAAGCAATCTGGACAGTCTGCAATTTTTGAAAGACCGCTTGCTACTGTACTAGCTCTTATTATTTAATGTGATGGACTGTGGATGGCTTATGCTCTGGAAGCCTGGTATGAAGTGAGATACCAGGTATTTATGACTTAAGGTGTATGAGGAAACCTATCCATGTCACATTCCTACCTGCTTTCTGTGAAAGTCAAAGATGGTAGCACCAAAGACAAATTAAATAGGACAGTGTGCTGGTATATAGTTACCAAAACTAGAGAGTTTTAGTAGTCAGAGCTTTGAGGATTCTTTGTAACAGTTGAAGGAAAATTTCTTTGCCACTTTCGAAAGCCTCATTGGAAAGCATGGTATGGCACTGAATTGTTGTAGAATTGTTGTAGGCAGTAAATGACTAGTCTGATTTATTGACTTTGCTTTAGCCAGCTGAGACAAAGCATTCCCTCACAATGCAATCACCATACAACCACTGCTCAGATGGACAATTTGAGAAGCATCAATGGTTTGAAGCCTGGTTGTCATGACGTGTAGAAAGACAGGAAGAGTTACTTGCTGTTAACAGTGTGCAAGTGTGTAAGATACTGTAAACAGGAAAGGAATAAGGATAAAAAGTAATGGATTTTAAGTGCAGTAAAACAGGCTATTAAAAAGCTTTTTAAAAGTGAGGATAGTTAAAAATATAGAATAGGGTACGTAGGGATGCTACAGTATATTGGTCAAATACAGTTTGTACAAAGCACTGAAATTGCTAATCCGATACTGGTGCAAGAGGAAGCCTAGTTAAGCTGTTGAGTCTTCCCAGCCCTGTTGATTTTCATTATTCAGTGTGACAGGATTTTTACATGGGGTTGGTCAGGCTTATAAAATACATATTCACATTGTATTACGTATTATGTGATTGATATTTGAAAATGCTAATGGAAAATGTTTTCTTGGGTTATTTTCAAAGTACGAACGGCAACCTTGTAGAGCTTGTACGCACAGAAATTACTGTTCTCCATAAAAGTGAAAACTCTGGTCTTAAAATCTGGCTGCAAATACCTACAGGATAATCATTTGTCTCAGCACTGGCATAGAGCATTTCAGGTTTCAAAGCAGCGTACCTTGCATGACAGGCACTGGTCTTCATTGTAACACTTATCTTTATATGTCAGTTCTAGTCTTTGGCCTGTTGTGGATTAGAGTTAACAAATTTGACTGAATTGAAAAGAAACCATACCTGGATATCTTCACTGGTTAATGCATTAAATTTGTCTCTCGGTTGTGGTATAGGAGGAAGTATGTTCTTGAAACTGCAATACCTTTGGATAGAAAATGGCATTGTGGAGAAATTTAAAATACTGGTAATATAACTTACACAAACATTGTGTGTTGTAATTTAAGGACGTTCTTTATTTTCAAGATTGAATAGCTATTGCTCTACAAATTAAGTGAAAAAAATATTTTGAGTGGGTTAACTGGTGGGTAACTATTAGTATACTTATCACTTGGGTAAACTAAAATTTATTTTGTGATGAGAGTCACAATAAATACTTTATTAATCAATGACTTTGAATAAATCACATGGCATAACTGTCTTTAACCACTGAGTGAGAAGTTTTATCAAAATAACAATGCGTTAATTTGTCCAGATTCCCTCTTGTCTGGTACTGTATCCAGCCAGTGGCTTCAAAGCAACCTGGATATTAAATGCTTAAAAGTAAGAACACAATAGCTTTTGTAGGATCTGGTGGAATCCAGGATCCACTTAGTAACTTCAATATCCTTTCCCCATTTTTCACTTGTAGTGATTTTGTGTGCCAAAGGGCCATCCACAACAATACTGGCGATAATACATTTTGACATTGATAATCAGATTATTTAAGTTTGCAGGTAGGAAAGTAGGAGATTGAAGGAATGTGTTTCATAGAGATAATACTATATCAATAGTATCTACAGAAAAAAAGGTTGATTTACCTTTTGAAAAGACAATACAGGAGCACTGTCACTGATATTGTTCCAAGTGCTATTAGAAATAAAATCACAAAAATAAAGTAATCTTTCCCTTGACCTGAAACATCCAAGAGAGAGAAGTATCTCAGCATACCAAAAATCTGCCGAGGAGACTGTCAGTAATGAATGCAAGTTTCACAATTTATTCTTAATTATTCAAAGGACTTCAACTTGACTTTCTTACAGAACTTTGGCAAAAATTCAGGTTGACTTGATGCATTTTAAACCATTTCAAATATTTAAAATTTAGAGAAATTAAAAAATAATCCAGAAAAGAAGAAAAATAAACAGAGTTACAGAACAAATAACTGAGCAAAATTAGTGGAAAGGGTAAAAAGAGAGAAGCAGAAGGAAGGGGATGATATTCATGGTAAAAACTTAAAAGAACTCAGAGGCATCCTCATCACTTCAGGCCAAAGGCAAGAGTGGGTCTATTTTCATCTGTTCCGGTAGCCCTGGCATCTGAGTAACTGCTGCCTTCACAGTCCCAGCTAACCAAAGGTTCTACTGCCAGAGTACTCTTCCTCATTAATAATTTCCACCCAGTTCCTTCCATGTAAGGGTAAGAATTAAGATTTTATTCATTCCTTTGACTGTGAGGGAGAAAGGGAAGCAAACATGGTAATACTGAAAAAAAATAGTATTTCATAATCTTACCAAACTCAATGGGTTCACTCCATTCCCCCCACTTTGAGCTTACGAGACATTTTGGTCCACGTGCTCTGATTTTCAGAATGTATCGTTTTTTCTCATTGTAATTTTGGAATTCGTATCTCTCATTCCTTACCTAGAAGCAAAGTAATCAGATTAACAAAAATTAAAATTAATTGTAAAAAATTAATTTTAATATGATTAAAAATAATATTAACAAAATATTAACAAAATTTGGGGGTTGATTTCATTATACAGTTTCTAGAAAAAAAATAATTTGTATGATTTTTTAGGTATGTACTAGTTAAATGTTTATCCTGCCATCAAAACTTTCTCTTTTTTGAAGGTTAAAACTAGATTTTTGAAGTTTATTGGGTCTTTAATTTATTTTATTATGCTTTAAGGACACTTTTTTTTTCCTGTTCTTGTTTATGGATCCTAAAAAAATCAGAAAGACACAAAGCAGAAACTGCAGAAGTACCTTGTAAAATCCCCTTGCAGCCTTCATGGGGATAAAACATGCAAATGTTCCCTGCATGGTGTCTGTTTTTGCTAAAGAGACCTAATGTTTTTAAGACAGTACAACAACAGATACGTATTATCTGGCCTCATGATACTTTATACAAAGTCTAGAATCTGTCAAGCCTTTCCAAGGGTCAGAGAAAGCCTCTGTCGAGCCTTTCCCATTTGTCAGGGAAAGAATGACAGTATGTATTAACTTCCACAGGTTTTGAAGATTGTTGTACTCACTTTGTCTAGCTGTCCTTAGACACAGATGCAAACCCCATAGTTCTAGAAGTAAGTGTATTTTTTGTAATAGTATTTATATGCTTAAGTGAGCAAAACCACAAATTTGTATATGGCAAGAATACTTACAACCTTTTTCTCTTCTTTGGGCTCATCCTGCAAAACAAAGACAAATCTTCATTTTTATTATTTTCTTATCAAATAATAAAATATTTCTTTCTGGTTCTCTTTTTCTTGCCTTTAAAGAACATAAGTAATTTTAAACTGAAAAACTGGATAGTCTTCTCCAGTAATGTCCCAGAATAACAGCATTTTATTCAGAATGCTGGCTTCCATCATTTCCTTTTAGAAAAGGAAGGAAACATGAATTAGTTATCATTAGATGTGAGAAGCTGTATTTGCCACTAAGGGCATATTTAGACTGTACATTCTCATCCAGCAGAAGTATATCTAAATTACTCAAGCAATCACACCATCCTACACACACAGCAGGTGTGGAAGCTGTGATTTCACAAGAGCTTGATAACATGGGGCAGAAAAATGATGTGAATAGCAAATTTACCCTCCTTCCAGTCAAAGTCTATGTTATCCATGCTCAAGGGCTTTCCCCCAACTACTGTGAAGAGGTACTTACACATCCTATACAATCAAAATTTAATTAACTGGAATCAAACTTTTACCTGGATCAAAGAACCTGAAAATTTGGGGAAAAAAAGGATGAGGTTCAAAAATGAGTGAACAGTTTCAACAGCGGTGATTTTTAGCAATGATCTCAGAAAACACTGAAAGACTGAGGTCCTGGAAGCAACTGTCACATGAAATATCAGGAGGATAGCTAACACTATGGAAAAGTCAGAAAGGTGTAACTGGAAGGAATGTCTCATTACAGAATACACACCCGCTGTGTGTCTTGAATTACAATGCAGACTAGTATTTCCCCATCATTTATTGTCAGCTGAGCTCTTTCAGCTTAGGACATGATGGAAGTCAATCAGCCTGTGCTGTGAGTGGGCAGTGTAAATGAGTTACTTAAGCTTTAATTTAGTGACATTTACCTCTATCAGCCCCTCCTGAAAGGTGTGAGTTTTATCTGCCATCTCCATGTAGATACCTCTGATACCTTCAGTAACTCTAGCACCTCAAGGGGAATGAGCCCTTCCACAGCACAGAGCCCTAGAAGTGCATTGTCTCTCAGGGGATGTTTGTGCTCCTTTGCAGACACCTACATTAAGGTGTCTCTGCAAGATGAATTTCACACCCAAATGTAGAAATCTACACTAAACCCCATCCTTTCTGACTGTGGCACAGGAAAGAAGAGGTAACATGTATTTCTTTCAAATAAATTTTTTGATAATATTGCTTTAATCATATGTTGTGGCCTATATCTTTATGTAAAAAATTCTACGTATTTCACACAAGATCTTCCTGTCAAATTATACCTGCCAAGCTGGAAAGCTATGTGTACTGCAATTGCTCCTTGAAATAGCTACAGCCTGCAAACTGTAGGCCTTGTTTTGAATCAACGAATAAGATTTAATGGTGTATTGCTTTATTTCAGTTGTATATTTATGTATATTTATGTATTTTATTTCAGTTGTATATTTATGTTTAACTCTTAGCTGATCTTTCCTGCAATGGTCTTGTTCCTGAGAATTGCCACCGCTGTAAGCTTATGAGCTGCAGCTGGGAAGTGGGATAGGTGGGAACACTAATTTACCCCAACAAAGGTGTCATCCACGTGTGGAAATCACATACTGGTAAAACAGGTATCCCAGCAATGAGGAGGAAGAGTGCTATTTCTTGCCTCCTTGTCAAACTCCTGGACTCAAAAAAACTTCCTGGCCTTTATCCTTAGAGATGTTAAAATCAGGTCCTTTAGACACTGAGATTTGTGGAGAAGGATTTGACACCTCAGCCTCTCTGCTCTGTTGTATGTGGTAGAAACCAGACATACCCTAGCCTGGAGAAAAGCAGACTCAGGGGAGACCTTCTGTCTCTCTACAACTACTTGTGGCAGAGTGGGGATAGGTCTCTTATCCCTGGTAACAAACATTAGGAGGAGAAGAAACAGCCTCAAGTTGCACCAGGGGAGGTTTAGTTTGGATATGAGGAAATAATTCTTCACTGAAAGGGTGGTCAGGCATTGGAGCAGGCTGCCCAGGGAAGCAGATGAGTCACCATCCCTGGAAGTGTTCAAAAGGCATATGGATATGGCACTTAGTGGTATAGTGTAGTGGTGATTATGGTGGTGCTATGTAAGCAACTGATGATCTTAAAGGTCTTTTCCAACCTTAATAATTATTCTATGAACCAGGGTGAGCATGAGGAGCTCAGGACCTGGGCACAGGCTGGAGGCTGCCACCAAGCCAGTGCCCTTGTTGCAGGTCACACAGTCGTTCCTCCTGTGACATGTGCTTATGCAGGACAGCATCACAGGTATTCTCAAGTCTTTCTCAAGCATTCTCAAGACAGAGATCCCTCATAACATTTCCCTGCTCTCCTCTGCTTTTCTACTTCGCACCTCTGAGAAGTCTGGAAAAAGATCATGAGAGATGGGATGTGAGACTAGCAGAGCTGGAGCAGGAGGACACCACAGGTCATGAGAGAGAAGTTAATAAAGGAATCAGAAGTTTGCATATTATAGATACATGTGTGTACATACAGTGGCACAGACAAACAAAGAAATTTTTACCTTGTTTTGTATGTTAATTTCATACTGAAAACACTTCACTTTTTTCACATGACTTGTAAGGGGTGGATGCCATGTAATTATGCAACCCGCTGGATCTCCAGTACAATGGGCAGTGACATTTAATGGAGCACCGAGTATTTCTGGGGGGAAAAAAAAGGAATAACTAATGTGAGCATGGTCAGTAATCCGCTACAACTCATGCCTTCATAGCAAAATACATGTCAAGGTGAGGCAACAGATATACAGCTGTGTGCCACTGATTCTAACAAAAGTTATTTGATAAACAGCAGCAAAGTACCATACCAAAACTTGGGAATACATCACTGCAGTTGCTGGACATCTGAAGTAACTGAAGTTCATGTGAAAAATAATATGAAGGATTTTGTGTAATTCAGTAGTGCAATCACAGTGTCACTTTTCTTTTACGTCTGTTTTCCAATCTCGTATTGACAGTGCAAGTCTCCATAGAAAGAAGGATGGAAGTTTTTGTACCTGTAGTATTTTTCATGTAGAAGAGCAAGGCATTGGAATTTGAGTGCCTGTAGACTGAGTGTGACCTAAGTATCTAACCACTACAGTCAGTGGAGACCTCTCCAGTAGTGCCCTGATGGCTGCAAAGCTCTTTGGCACACCGTGGAGCAGGTGTGCTTGTCTAGATAGCTCTGAGCTTCACAGCCCCATCAGCTACAGTCAGGAGTCACTTGTGTTGTGTTTCAGACCACACAGGACACTCAGAAGGACCCTGGTATCTCATGGGTCCCAGGCCACATCTGCAAGCCTTGTGGATGCCTCAAGTATCTGAGTGTGTCTCAAATGGCACTAGAGGCGTGTTTTTAGGCAACTAAATCCCACCCCAGATCTTTATTGGAGCTTAAACTCCTAGTTTGCACATATTGATCTAACACAGACTTAATTTGCAAGTTGAACCCTCACTCTGGTTTTAGGACATGTAGCTCTTCTGGGTCCCAGGGAGGTGTGGGATTAAGGGATGGCAAAATAAACCCATCAGAAAGGTAGCCTTGAAAGTCTAACCATTGTGTTTCATTAATTGGAATCCATGGATATGTTCACACCACTTCTCTGAGCAGTTGTTTCAGGCTGCCTCTACCTTTGCTTATTTTAGTTAATTTTTGGAACTATATTCTGTCAGCTGTAGGGAGCAAAGTCTGTCCTACAGTGCAGGATCCTGCAATGGCCTACAGACTTTGTTTTAATCTTATTTCCAGAGAAAAATTCACCACTTCCTTATTTTATAAAACAGTAATAAAATAAAAATATTCAATTACGTACCAATTTTATACAGTTCAATGTACTCATCATAGAACTGGATCAGGGAGTCTTTGCTAGACCCATTAACCAGGAAGTAAGCTTTTTCAATCTCTATCCTCACGTTTTGGAATCTACATCCCATGTTTCTGCCGTTTTCATCTTTAATGTAAAGCTCACATTCCATCTGCCCATCATCTCTGTATAAAGCAAGGTATTTTCATTAAACACGGGTAGTGTGATGTGTTGAATGAGAATTCAGGCTTCCCTGACTCAAGCAGTCCTACTTACCTTGAGTTCTGCCAGTAGAGAAAATACTGTGTATCTGCTGGAGCACCCCTTCCTGCCTGCCAAGTGCAGTTCATGAGGCAAATGTTATAAATCACACAGGAGAAATTTTCAATGGCCGACTCATTCATGCCTGCAAACAGAGGAATATCTGTGATGAGGAAAAACCCTATGACTCCTCCAATCTGGAGGATCGTGGCACATGCTTAGGTATGTTAGATGCCTGCAAGTCCAACTAGTTATTACTTGGGTCAGGAGTGAAAACTAAGAGAATTATCACTCCATTTTAACTGCCTCTTAACTGTGAAACTTGTCAATAAGCAAAGCATTCGCACACAGAAAAGAAGGCACATTGCCTTTTACCATCGTGTTGCTACAGAGAGAAGTATTTCTCCTTTTGCAATTAATGCTCAGGAATCTGCTCCTGAAAGTCTTTACAGAGAGGACTAAAAAAGCTGAGACTTTTAAAAGCAAATTTGGACTTCTTCCTGCTCTCCAATCAAGCAACTTCCTTGTTAGATCTTTCCACTCTCACGTGTGTGACAATGACTTGTTCTGTTCCTTTTCTGGAGTACATTGAAGTGGGAATGTTTCTTTGGAAGTTTGCTTGTGGCCAGGCTGTGTGAGCATGCTCAGCCTCCTTCTCTCTTCTCCTTCAACCAGTTTTCTGCTTCTTTCTGTGGTATGCCCCAAATTCAGTGAAAGGGTGGAGGCTTCCTCTGCTACTGACTCCAACCTCCTCCAGTGCCCATTGTCTGGGGCACCCTTGTGGAAGCATGGGGGAATCCTCTGAGAAGCCTGAACGCTTTGGAAGGTAGGGCCAGCGGGGGAGGAACACCAAAAGCAACAAATTTTGTGTGTCCTGCCTTGTATTTTGAGGGTCACCATTGGTGTTTCCTCTGCCAAGTCTACAGGAAGAGATGAGCAGGGAGTGTTTTCTCTGTTTAGACATGAGCAAACTGCTAATCTCATCTGAGATACCCTGCGTACATGCAGCTTCAGGAACGCTGTTGACAAGGGAATTTTAGTGGAGAACTTTGAGCTGAGGAGGAGAGGCAAAATGGGTTACAACAAATTCACCAACAGCCCAGCAAGAAAGCGTTTAATAAACAAATAAGCACTAATATCTTATTTTGTAACAGCCAGAACAGTTATTTGAATCTACCCTTAAACCCCTGTAAGTTATTGGCCTTTTGGAGCCTTACTATAAAAGAGAATAACGCAATTATGGATACACTTCTGGTAATGCATCTCTTGAGGAATGGTTGAGACATTCATTACAGAGCAAATAATTTTAACAGATCTGAAAAAAAAAAAAAAATTAATAGAAAATATAGCAGTTACCTACTGTGTAAGGAACTGTTTTCTAAGACAATTAAAAGATTTAAAAGATTGCAAATGGAGAAAACCTTAGCCAGACATTACCTCCAGGGAGAAAGGTGCATTTTTTTGAGATATTTGTGTTTGGCACTTCAATGGTAAAGAATACCCCTTTGTGCAGAGGCATGTACAGTTCCTTTGGAAACCTGCATAGTGGACTATTCACCTGAAAAAGAACATGTTGATGTTTTATTTCTCTGCTTTTCCTCTTTTGGTGTTAGATGATGCTGGCTGTGGAAGTGCAACTCAGGAACTCAACTCCATGTATATGATATATGTTTTAGGCTCAAGAGCTAACTCCCTCCTTTAGCACTCCACGATGATGTAGAAAGGAACTGAGGGATTGATGACATAACAACACAAAAAGCTTTGCAGCTCAGGAGTTGGATACTACAGTAGTGTGCAACTATTACAGAAGGCTAATAATGCTCCAGTGGCATAACAGAAGATGATTAATGAATAAGGGAACCACAAAGAAATTTAATCATAGGATTAAGCAAAATAGAAATCCTCATCTGACCTGCCCAGCAGTCAGAAAGGTGTCTATGGCATTATACTTATAATATTCAATAAAGATGTGATGGACTTCATAATATGAATTTCTAGTTAACACATCTGCTTTGCTGGGCTAAATAAGCCACCTCTCTCTTTTTCTGTCAAGCTTCCTATTTTTCTCCCTGGATAATGTGGGTTTATAACATAACCTGTGCTACAAGCATGATCCTGTCCACTGGGAAACAAGTGAAGAATTTGAGATAATGAAAAGCCATGGCAGTGTTTGCAGAATTAATTTTTTATCTGAAGGGTCTCTCGCTCTGTCTCTCTAAATTTGCTAGAAGTCTCACTTAGTCTTAGAGCCCCTTTTTTTCAGCAGCTAGATCCCTGCTCATGATTCAATGTAGGCACAGTCCAGGCTATCACTTCCTTTCCACTTTGATGCCAGAACTTCAGGTCTGTTGTATGCAGTAAATGCATCCTGGTATTGCTGATGGCTTTCCACAGCCCCTGACATATCAAGCTGTGGACTGTAAAAAACCACACCTCAGATATTATCTGCAACTGTTTCAAAGTAAGTGAAATTGATAAAAGGCAAAGAAAAAGGTGCAACTATTTATCACAATGAATAGCAAGTTTACCTCTTTTGCTGTGCTTTCCATGTCCCAGTTCATGATGGTACATTTATACATAGAAAAATTCTTGCTGCTCTCCCAGGACAGTTCCATTTTTCTCCAGTCCACATTCACATTTGTAATAGGTGATTTTTGTGCTTCTGCTGGAAGTGATACAGCATAAGTTCTACAAGGATATGCTATTCCTTTTTGAATGCAGAGGATAGTATCTGTCAGGCTCAAGATGATAATTGCCAGTTTAATTGCAAATATCTCTGATAAATAAAGAATTAAACCTTATTTCTTGGGTTATATTTGCAAAAACATACTTACACTCCATACACTGGATGTCAGCGTGCAAGGGATGAAAGAGCATCACACACCACCAAATCATGCAAATGAGTCCAAAACTATCAAACATATTTTCTTCTCTGGAAAGAAATAATGAAACCTTCAGAAAAAGAAGAAAAGAAAAGAAAAGAAAAGAAAAGAAAAGAAAAGAAAAGAAAAGAAAAGAAAA